GATTCCGTTCTATGCCAAATGTGGACTAAAACTTTCTTGGCACACATGAATACAATCACCTCGTTCCTAAGCTCTAGCGTTCATTTCGATTAGCTCACAGAAATGGCTCATAATATCCGCGAATGTCTGACCCACAGAGCAGAAATTCCAACCGTCTCCTCTGGTGTAGCAGCTAACAGATAGCCAACCACCTACTGAGATTGGATGAATTATCATCTAGACAGCCTCAGCAGCGACAGCGCACCAATTCCCGTTTCCGCTAGCCAAGTCAACCCAGGAAGAGATCCGACCTGCCCTTGTTACCCGTTGTCGGCTTTGCTGATTTAGTTCACCTATTGTCGAGTGTTTACTGTTTCACAGCTAACACTCTCGGCGGGGAATATTTGTAGTGGACTGACAGCCGCCCCGCGCGAGTGTGCGTGCATGAAGGCCCGTGTGTAGCGATGACTCATCCTTTTTTTGTTATTGATTTTTGTCAGCATTCGCCTGTTACGCACGCGTGCTCTGTCGCCTCCTTTTTCCTATCCTCGGGTAGCTACGGGCTGTTAAGTAGAGGGTTGTAAGGTAGGGCTAAATCCTCTAGTCACTACAGGTCCAACTCATATAAATGCATTTTGAGTAGATACCACAAGCAGTTTGCACGTTTTATAGAAACAACCAAATTAATGAATGCCGTTCTAATGATCTTAAAGAAATTTTCTGGTTGCATGCAAACACGAGTCTTTACATTGGTGTTAGGCCTTTGCATGGTTGAGTTGAGTGGTCAGGTGTAATGTGCTGAACCAGGATTTGAATTAGGACTAAGCACGTGTTCCTTGTTTTCGATTACATCAAATGGCCGTTTAGTCTGACTGCACTGACACAAAGTTTAATTTATGTGAATACAGATCACAAGCAGGTTATGTAATGTGGCAACACGTTTAGTGTCAAAAACGTCTGATGTGATGCAATTAAGCGACATATTGATCATCTAGTACAATTGGAGGTGTGTCGGTTTAAAGAAATCAGCCAACAATTGTGTACATGGTGGCTGAAAACGCTAAGTAGGCTTAAACTGTGATAAAATGACTCGAGTCCTCATACTAAACGCAGTTGCACTACTAACTGGCCATTTGCCAAGAACACAGCACAGCTATATTGGATGCTACATTTTAGGCCTTGTGGTTTTGCAACGTAACATCTGTCGAAGAAAACAGCCGACATCGTAATCAACCCGAGTGCACGCATTTAGCAACACATTCACCTTAACATACACACAGTCTGCAACTTACATACGGTGCCGGTTTTCCGTGGATTATGGCAGCCATGGTGTCGGTGAGGTTGATGGCTAATGGATACATGTCGTATCCACCATCGCCACCATTCAACTTGTGACCCTCTAACTCGAACCACCGAAGTAGAGCTGATTCCTCGTCACCGTGTTCGTAATCTTTGTCTAGCAACTTCAATCGCTGGTGCAAACTCGTCTCCATGGGCTCATCCGAGGACTTCACTCGCACACACAACGTCAGGTCGTACGAGGAATCCGCACAGGTGAGATCCTCCGGGACGCGCTTTGGTGGCCACCGGTACACCCGTGGACCACGAGCACACCGACACGACGAATTGGTCCCATCGAAATCGGGAATGTGATAATCCACTGCGTGATGACCACATGAAGCACACGAACTGCGATAGGTGACAGAAATCTGCACTGACTTATGCCATAACATGAAAATGATAAATACGCAAAATGCAGTGCAAATAGTTAAATACGCTTTGATCCGCCTAGTAGAAACCATGTTAATTGTGGTGAATTCAGCTTGATCTTAGTTGAGCGTCAACGCATCGGCCTACTTAATATGAATTGCCTCGTTCAACTAACCATTCACAGTAGGCTGCATTGTTATTGGTCATGTATGCTTCAACGCTTTATGATTGGTTGAAGCAAGCTTCAGCATTGATTTGAAATCGGAAGAAGTTTCGCTTTTTATTGACTGCTTTTCAATTTGTTCATTGAAAAATAGAAGATAAGTATACATGATCTGGCGACGAGTACTGCAAAATGCGTAAATCTTATGGAAATTTCTCCTGTTAATGTGACCTGAATGCCCAGATTGTTTCGTTTCGAATGCACAGTGGTGCGCCTCATTCAACCCACCTATAACAAAGCGCAGTATCCTCATTGGCTAATTCATTAACGTTGTCAATGGTTTAATTACGTGATGAAGCCCAGTAACTCAAGAAAATATCCAATTTTTAATATACCGCCTCACCGTTGTCGAAGTTCATTATGGTACAATCGGAAATATTTGGATTATTTGTTCGTGCATGGCTGTTGACGTTATTAACTGCTGTGTCGAGTAAACAAGGTGCATTAAACACGCAAACTTTGTGATATGACTCACTAAAACACACAAAAACCTCATGCTTCTCCATCGTTCTGCCTCATTGCTCAGCAGCCATCTGACAGACATGAGGTTTGGACTCATGCTTCGGTCGCATGACACCGTCTCCTCCCAATTACAACGCTTTTGAATATAGCTAAATGCGGTTTCTGGAAGCTGATGAGTGTTTGTGGAATGTCCATAAACGAGCACATTGAATAACTACGATTAATGCTGTACCTTTGTAGTTCCGACACACATTGCGGTCATATTGGATCACATCAGCAGTTCATCCAATCCAGTGTCTGAGTGTATTTTAATTGCCGTATTGTGGGTAATCCTCTGCCAACCAGGAACATGGATAAATTAAAGGAACCTGCATAACGAATAGCGAATGAAGGAATGGACAGTGGCTGCAGGACGGTTCTATCCTTTGCGGTGTCAACTCAGCCTGTCTTCTCAATTCAAGAGTCAGGGAGCCTATTTTCTGTTATTTGAGCATTGTAAAGTAAAACATAAAACTGCAACGAACATTTTTCACGCTACCACTTCATGACAGCCAGCCAGTCAGTCAGCCAGTGCAGTGCACTTATACTCAGTAGCAGCATGTCGTTCGTTTGAAGTAGCAGTGGTTGACTTTTCAGAAAAACCAGCGCAAGTGGATGACTGTACAAGTAGTCCATGTTAAATCGACGCCTGGGCAAAATGTCAAGTAGAACTTCAGTGCAATGTGAGATGTTTCGGCTCCCCTCAACCTTCCGGTTCGCTCGAGAGTTGATTTGTGAAAAGTAGAGCAAGCATTGTTCTTATTGGTTGAA